AGGCAGCCCTGTTGTCCCCGAGCGCCTCGTGGGGACCTCGTGGGCTCCCCCCTTCGCGTCGCGGGAGCGTTAGTGGCTTTTGGAGCGCTGTCCCTCGCAGAGACACACCGCTAAGCACGTGTGTGCCCGGGCAGAGGAGGGGCTGAGAACGGCGACGTGTGAAGTAGAGGATCGAGTCCAGCTCCATAGAGAGCCAGGGTGTCTCTGGGGACTGTGCTGCCCTCCGGGAAGGGGAGAGGGCAGGCTGGAAAGCGGCTCAAACTAAAACTGACTCTATTGACCTGAAGTGACATCAGGTCTATGAAAATACAGAGCAAATGCCTCAGCAAGCTCTATGCCATTTTGCATTATAAACCCAGCACTTGATGTCCCGTGCTCTATCCTTTTGCTCCTGGTTGCTCTGGTGCAAAACTATCTTATTTAGACAAGGTTTTGCTGAGGCTTCTGCTGCTGGAGATATCAGACTTATTTCAGCTCTTCTGAGCACCCAAAACCTGTTACAGGTGCAGCCAGTCTGCCATAAATCCTGGGAGGTGAATAAGGGCTTCTGGGTCATGCTGGTGGGCTCCCTGATGCCAAGGGACGGAAGCAACCGAAATTAGGCTCTGATTTTATAACTATAGCCAATGTCTTTCAAACCTTTTAGATGTCAGCTGCATCCCCATGTGCAATATTTGGGCTTGAGTCATTTCAGATTTGCTGTTGGGATTTCCAAGGAGAATTTGTCAGCCTGTCAGACTTCATAGTACCTGGCAAAATCAGCACTGTGCTTTGCATTACAGGCAGCCAGGAAAGGAGGTGAGATACTGATTAAGGCTGAATTAAAGGAAAATGTCCCAAATCTGTGTCTTTATCCTCTGTGCTAGATTAGCTGTTAGTCTGTACATAATGTAATGTCACTACTGCTGTCACCTTGCTCCTCTCAGCCAGGTCTCCCAGGGAGGAGTATGTCAGTGTTTAAAAGACAGTCTAAGATTTGATTTAGCTTGGGGATAGTAACATTCCTCACTGATGGATCAGCAGCAGATAAAGAGTTTCTAAACCCGTGCAGATGGAGCAAAGGGCATGAGGGTTTCTGTGCCGCTTTGCTGATGCACACTGCTCAGATGATTCAAGCTAACTTTCAGCCTCAGATTTGAAGCAGGAAGGAGACTTCAGACTTGGTATATTTGAAGGCTGGTAATGGGATTCTGTAAGATGAAAAACTAAAGAAACCCCATCTTGGCCAGAGTGATACTTCAAAAAGCTGAATATTGACTTGGAGAAGAGGCCTTTCTGAGATAAGGGAGGATGATCTTGGGAACTGTAGGGAATACGTTAAAATTGAGAAACTGTTCAAAAATGAAATTTAGGAGGAAAAAAAAAAAGGCAACTTTAATTATTTAATCTGAGTGTATTCTAAAAGTTGCATTTGCAGTTTCAGACATGATGGCTTCTTGCAAGGTTTGGAGAAGATGATTAGAAAATTACCCTGCAGTAGAGCTGCATGCTCCCTGCCCAGTGCCCGTCTGTGCGTTCGTCTGCACTGAAAGAAGAGCAGAGCAAACAGTGAATATTGTGAGATTGCCTTTTTTTTCCCTCCTCTTTTATTTTTTTCCCCCTCCCAACAGCAACTGAGGAGCATTCTCCCATTTCAGCTGTGTGGGTTGCACAGATCTGCACACAAGAGGGGCTGTTTCTTTCCTTCAGGGCGTTGACAGCGGGAGGCAAATCCCACCACCCCATCACAGCCTAAAATAAGTTGCTGCTGACTCTAAAAAATTAATTAAACGGGAGCGTCACTTTCTGCCCAGCCTCTCCGGTTGTCCTCAGAGAGCCTGGTCTCCCCCAAAGCCAGCGGCTGCCTTAGCTGCTGGTGACCTTTGCACAAAGGGCTCCTGCACTGCTGAGGGATTAAGGCCGCCCACAGACCAGGCGGCGGCAGCACAAAGGACATGGAGGGCTCTTCCACGCGGCCTGGAGCCGCTCGGGGCTGGAGGAGCACGAAGGGCTCGTTAGGGATAACGGATGGGCCTGGGATAACGTGGCGAGCGGAGCTCCGCGCAGCCCCGAGACGCGCGAAAACGCGGCTGGGAGGGGGGCAACATGGCCGCCGCCCGTCGCCATAGTAACCGCAGCGCGCCCCCGCGCCTCCCGTTACCCCGGCCACCCGCCCAGGG